CCCCGAATTATAAGAATGTCTAGTTCAGTTTGCAACCTGAAACACTGCTGGGTTGTGCCACAGAGTTTCGTGTAATAACAATTTTGTATGGAATTTTAGTGCGTTTTTCAGCATACATAAAAGTGCTAACACAGTTAAGAAGTTATTCTGGTTTTTGTTCTTCAGTTGCTAAAAACAGAAATTACATTTGGACGTAATTTTCCTAGCAGTAGTTTATACACATTAGCAGTTTACTTTCAGTCTTAAATAGTGCACAACATAATATTTGTTTAATATGAGGAAGCAGGAGTAAGTGATCTGCAATCAGAAAGCTTGTATTAAAATGGCTCCCACAGGTTTTGTTAAACTAGGATCTGTTTCAAATCTGCACCTCCAGACACACTGCTGACAGTGAAGCATATTTGTATAAGCTGCCCTTGTGCGTGTAATGAAACATAGCATCGTGAGTCTGTTAAAGTTCACTATTTTTAATCACTCAAATATAATTCTTTTATAGTTCACAAAAAATAAATGTCTGCATTGCAGCAAGATGTCTGAGGCGCAAGGTAGAGACAGCAGTGTTGTTTTACAGCCCAGCCCAATCGCGCTGCTCCATGGAGTCCTTGAGCCAATAGAAGCAGAGGGTAGGTTAAAGATTGACAATTGCAGTGGCAAGACTGAGAAAGGCCTTCTGGAAATTTCTACCATCTTTGTTCCATCTAAGTAAAGCAAATTCAGCCAAGCTGAAGAATTTCATATATTTTTGGTGCTTTGTCAAGGTATGATGTTGTCACTCACTTCCATAGATTGCATAATAAGAAGCACTCTGTGCCGTTTTTTTCTGCTGTTCAGGACAGATGGAATGTGGGGTTTTGTTTAAGTGATAGACGTGGGGGAAAAAGCACGTATTCTTCCTACCCAAGATTTTACAGGACTGGATTTTGTTAATATCACAATTAGACAGGACATGTATGAAGCACTGTAGCTGAGGTTTATTCAGCTTGTAGCAAATGGCCATTATTCTAATGTAACTAGCAGTTAATCGTATAATTGCACTTTAAGTTTTCTGGCTACTAAAGAGCAATTTGAATTGCCCAGGATGAATATGATTAGCCATTGTTATTTAGTGCCAACATCCAGTTACTTTTGTAATTAGCTGGACAAAAAATGCAATGGGGGAAAAACAAAGGGGTGATCTGGATTATAAATAATGATGAAAACAGTAGCTTTTAAAAAGCTACATGCCTCTTTCATTCTTTCCAGGCAAACTGTTTTAGTTGGAAGCTAAATAGTGCTAGGGAAAAACTGAGTGATTTCTTTAAACAAATGACACTACTTAACATACTGAAAATTAAAAGAATGCAGAGTATAAACCACTCCAAATGTGACATTTCTCCCCCTCACATCAGGCAGGAATATTGAAATGTAGGGGAAAACCTACATGGCTACTAAGGAAGCATGTCATAAAGGGAACTCCATGCTCAAAAATCATAAGTAAGTAATCACATTACCAATTTAGCCCTTTATATAGGTGTCCACAAACTTTGATTGGCTCGTCTTCCTGAACTGTCTTCCATTTTGTGATACCACTTTTGCCTGGGTAGGTTTTTTTGTTTGTTTGTTTCCGTCCGTGTTCCCGGCACCACCACCCTCCCACCCCCCCTTTTTGCTTTGTTTTCAAATGTATTGGCCATGTGGATCCAGTAGCTGAAAAATGATAAGTCATGGTCAGTTTTCCATAGTAATGGTGCCTCTCCAGTATAATTGATTAAAGGTTGATAAACCTCAGTAAAAACTCTCCTCTTGTCTGTCTGGAATTCAGGGGGAATTAATTTGTATCTCCTAAATATCTTGCAAGTTTAACATAACCTTTGTCCATGTGGAATGTAGCAGACAGCAATTTTCAAATTTTGTTATTTGTGGATCCCTAATATTTTTCCCATGGGTGCATGAATCCCATTAGAGTGAATTTAAGCCTGTTGGATTAGGTTTGATTTACTTAGTTTCTGTCTGCAAACCCCTTAGTAGTAATACACTGGCTTTGAGGGGTCTGCAAACCACAGACTGAAAACCCTGGTAGTAGGCCATCAAGTTTGGCCCTTTAAATTGTATTAACAAAGTATTTTAAATATATTTATTAAGAAACATGTCTTGTAGTCAAGGGTTAAGGTCCAATTTAGAAATAGCTACATAGGAACTGAGTTTTATTGATTTGATAGAGGTTGTCTGTCATTGTTAT